TATTATTTTTCCTTACATAAAATAAATAAGAAGAAGAAGAATTTATAACTTTGATAATAATAATAATAATAATAATAATAATAATAATAATAATAATAATAATAATAATGACATTACATGACAACGAATTTTATAATAAAATAATAATTAACTATTATATGGAGAACAAGAATAACTGAAATTTTTATATTTCATATATCAAGGAATAAATATATATACTAAAGAAAAGTAAAATTCTCTCTCTCTCTCTCTCTCTCTCTCTCTCTCTCTCTCTCTCTCTCTCTCTCTCTCTCTCTCTCTCTCTCTCTCTCTCTCTCTCTCTCTCTCTCTCTGTGTGTGAATTAGGGAAAATAAATATAAACTGTCGCCGCTCAATCTCACCGCCGATTTTCCCCCTTTGGTGACGGTGGGGCTCGGCCGGCGATCGCCCCTACCCGCTCAACCCATGCTGGGACTTCGTGCGCCCCAATTTATCTGCGACTTGGTGCAAAATGGCTCTCCATCAATGGCAGAATTGCGTGGAGGAGGTGCCGTCTACATGGTCGGATTCCGGTCTGTGATGGGTGGCCTTGCTTCCCGGTTGCTGGCGGACCTTCGATAGCAGGTGGTAAGCCATCTAACCCTCTGTTTCTGGCTTCAATTGGCATCCTCTCCGAGAGTTTCCATTTTCTGGCAGGGTTGGTTTCTTGGTCGCCGGGGTTTGTGGTGGTTTTGGTGATGTATGGTCTGAGGATGGGGAGAGGCCTCGTCTGCTACGGCGGACGGGGTTGAGAAACCGTGTCATCTCCCATCCCCCTCCCCACCCCATTCAGCTAGTGGTGTTAGACGGCGGGGGTCCGGGGACCTGGTTTCTCTTGGGTTCGACTAGTGGTGTTAGACAGGTTCGGGAAGGGATTATGGGGGTTGGTCGATTTTCTCTTGGTTTGAGGTGGGTCGATTCAGGGAAGGGTTCGGGGTTTGGTTTCGGTTACTGTATAGGCGGTTGCACAGTTTCGATAGTGGTTTCTCGGGTTGGGACTCCTTCTTGTGTTGATCGTTCACTGCTGGTGGGGACTGCTCATTTGCCGGGGGAGGGCTGTTAGTTTTCTTTAGTTTATTTGTTGTAGATGTTTTGTGTTTTTTGCGTATCTGTGTCTGTGTTTGTATTTGTGTTTTAGGTTTGGGTCGTCGGCCTCGGTTAGCCTGAGTGTGACTTTATCATCCTGTTGGGATCGTACACTCGAGCATTACCCTGTTGGGGTCGTATCTTTTCCTTTTCATTTTCATTTTCCTTTTCATTCTCCTTTTCGGAGATTTTAGTGTCCTAGTTTTTTGTCGTGTTTCCGAGTATTACCCTGTTGGGGTCGGCTCTAGACTATTTGTTGACTTGTCCTCTCATTTTATTCAGCTGTTGGCTGTTTTTATTCAGTTGTTGGTTGTTTGTATTCAGCTGATGGTTGTTCCTTTGCACTTTGTGCGCATTTATATAATATCTCTATCGTTTCGGGAAATATATATACTAAAAGTATTAGTATAAACGTGTTATCGAGATAACATATTATTTAATTCACAGGCTAGCGCCAACACGCTTAGGTTTAATGTTCTGACGAAAAAACAACGTTGATTAAAGGTAGTGGAAAATGGATGATCCAATTTTATTATTTTTTAGGCCTACACAGACAATCCATATGAAAATGGCTCATTTAAGATCTCTATCTCGTGCATCGCACAAGCTACGTATTGTTTTAAGACTATTAAAAAGTACATGAAAGAACAATTATATTGTGGATAGAGAGTAAGGGCGTGCTTGGATACAATTATCCTCTCCAAATGAGTTTTTTTGTGTTAATTTTGAAAAAAAAAAAATCGTATAGTTAGTTGTCAGTGAAATTTTGAGTTTATATTATAATACTATTTAAGATAATTAAATTTGATTTGATGTAAAAGTATGAGAGATATTATGTGAAGTATTGGTTAGTTCAAATTATGTGAGTGGATGAATAGTAAATTAAATAATGTGATATGTAAGAATGATTGTGTGGTGTTATTTAATTATATTAATAATATTGAGATAGTGGGATTGTGTTCAAGTTAAGTTAGATTTAATCAATCAAATATTAACTGGAAAAATTTATAAATAAAATCCACCAAATGTGATATAAAAATGGTATGAATATGTATAGAATCTATATCTATATCTATATGTATATATAAAGAGAGAACATATTTACCAAAAATAGTAACAAAAAGTCAACAGCATTTCTTGCATTCTATTTTTGACAATTTTTTAATTTTCTTTTTAAACTATTCCCAAAAAATCGATCAGCTATATATGCACCCTAAATTCATGTGTTTTGTGGATGTAATTTAGGTAAATTTCCACAGATGCTTACAATTTTGCAAAATTCTTTCTCATATTTTACTATAAAAAAAACTGATTAGCATAAAATCAGAAATTTCGAATTAGACAAAATACTATCATATATATCTTTTTTGAATTACAGCAGATCAATTGTTTATTGAAAAAATCAGATTGCATAGAAATTAGGTTTTTTTTCTAAAACAATAGATTATATTATAAATCAAAATGCACAAATGTACGAATACGCAGCAGCCAACAACTGAAAAAGTGGGAGGACATGTCAGAAGACCGCCTAGAATCTCGACTAGCAACGCTAGAATAAAGCTCGCAACTAAACTAACCAACTAAAACAACTAAAAGGACCGCAACACGGTAATACTCGAGTGTCGGATCCCAAACAGAGGCCAAACTGCCCAAACCAAAAACACGAGACAAGAAAGAGAACAACACGACCTAACCAAAAAACACTAAAAACACCTATAACAATCTACTACTAATAGACAACCCTCCCTCAGCAGAGACCTCCAAGATTGCCATTGAACAAAGCCTACTACAGGAGAAATTCAAAGCATAGGAACCCCGCTCACCACTACCCAAGTCCTAGCGAACACAGAGACCCAAACCCCGAAACACTCCCAATAGCCGACCCTACTCCAACCGCAGAAACCACACTCATCCCCAACCCGACAAACATCACAAGCCGAGTGCCGAGCCGACCCAAAATCACCGAAACCATAGCGCATTCGGAAGCAGAACAGACACACAAACTCAAGACGAAGGGCCAGAAGTGGGGAATTGTCAGTTCCAAGCCCAGCCGCCCCGCCCGGACCGATGGAAACAGCCACAACCCGCCGGAATAGAAAGGGTACCCGCCGACCGCAACCGAAAGAAAACCGAGACAAATCGGCAAAAGTAGAGGCAGCCACCACACAACACTCAGAGTCAGTGAAGAAACTCACCTCCCACAGTCACCAAAATATCGGTGGAACAGACCCGTGCCAATCGACGGCGAGAAGCCCCGAGCATACCCCAGATCCAGCGAGAAGAACCGAGCCAATCAGTCCAATTATGGCGACCAAGACCTCACCCACTCACCTACCACCGTCCTCCGTCCAGCCCAAGCCCGTCGAAGCTCTGGAAGGGCGTACGCAGAAAGGGATCTGCAAACCCTAGGAGAATCCGACTGCGAAGGTCCAAACGGGAGAGACGAGGCCGATTCGTGGGTGAATGGTGGAGCACGTTCTCCGACTATCCTGGACTACCGCCGGGAGAGAAAAGGTGGCGCAAGTAGAAGACGACCAAAGGCGGCGATTTTTTCTTCGACAGGGACGACGTTTTTGTATTACTCTGTTTCTACGCCTAATTAGAAATTAGGTTAATTTAGGTAAAATTCGACATGAAAATTTGTAAAAGTCAAAATTCTCTCATTCGTTATTAAAAAAATATGTTTACAATAAAATCGAGAATTTAAAATTAGGAATATTATAACGTGTATCTTTACCAAATTGTTACAGACCATGTTTATTAAAAAAAATCAAATTGCATAGAAATCGGGCCCAAATTCAAATTGAAAATTAAAATTTAAAAATCTCTTATCATTTGACTACCTTTTTTCTTAGTTTGATTTTTTTTTTAAACAAAAAACAGAGTCAGATAATATTAATTTAAAATTCAAAATGAAATCGGATTAAAACATCCTAAAAATTTTGGTTTTGTTTAATCCTCTAGAATACAAATTTGAAATTGATTTATACACTCAAACAATTTTTTCTTCCTTAAATTAAGTAATTTACGATTATAAAATAACAAGGCTATAGAGTATCAAGAAAGACGTTTACAATCTCCGTTATATTTGGCTATGCAATATTCGTAAAAGCAGTATAAATCATATCATATATATCATGCTAAATAATTTAATTGATTTATTTAACCCTATCTAGAATCCTAATATAATTTGTTGCGATAAACAATGTACCAAAAGACCAAACAAATAATGTTATGTAGAAGGATGTGGTTAATAATATATAAGTTATGTAGGTTTATTCTAATACATTCGTTTTGCGTTCACCTAATCATCTAAATCTAAATGTTTATCTTAATAAAACTAGCTCGTGCATAACAACTCGTACATCGCACGGATACTGTACTAATCTTACTCCATTTACCTCATGTGTAATATTTATATTATCTTATTTCTATCAAGTAGAGTATATGATAATATTTATTCAAAGTTCAATCACCCGGACTCCTGAAAGTGGGTTAACTATTATTTTGAGACTTGAAAGGTAAAATTTATTTATTAGGGACCCGAAAGAGGGTCAATTATCAATTCTGGACGATAGAATGTTTTTTTATCCCTAGTTCTAGGATTATTTTTTAATATTCCCCCATGATTTAAATATGCAAATAACCGGAATAAAATGTTTTTCAATGTATGCAAAAATAACTGAATACGAGAAGCGTGGAAACGGTCTCGACCAAAGCGTTAATGTCGAACTTTTGCATCTCTCGTGTCCATTACATTACATTATGACCCCCTTTTTCTTCGTTCCATTAATATGTCTCCCTTGTTTACCTCATCTCAATCTCACCAATAATGACAATATTGTTGATTTTCACTTAACACAACTGATATTTAAAATAAATAAACAAATAAAAGATGTGGAGAAGCCCCGGAATTAACCTGCTCAAACGGTCCATGAATTCGAGGCCCGCATTCAACCGGTTTTGCGGCTTCGAAGTTACGGGCCGATCATGGTATCATCGCCATTTTTACGGCACCAGCTCCATCGTTGAGAACAATAACAACAATGGTAATAATAAAAATAATGTTAACAATAACAATAGTACTAATGATGGAATTAATTCGATGAGTTATGAAGAGGCAAAGAAGCTGATGAGGCTATCGAATGTTGAGGCTCTAAAGGAGAAGCTGTCGGATGTCGAGGACAGGGAAGTTATACCCTACGACGAGCTCGTCTCCACCTGCATGGCCGCCGGAGTTGCCAAATCCGACGATGAGGCCGCCGCCTTTGCTAGAGTTCTCGACGATGCCGGCGTCGTTTTGCTCTTCCGGGACAAAGTATACCTCCACCCAGATAAGGTCTTTCATATTCATTTTCATTCTACGTATTATTTTTCATGTTTACTGAATTATTATCTATTTTGTTATATTAATATAATTCGTCCACGTCAGCATTTTATCCTGGTGGGGTGACTAATGCATCATATTCGATCAAATTGTCAATCTAATGCATTTCTTTTGATATGACTTGATATGGCCCAAATCCGTGTATATTTTTTGAACAACGCTCAACTCGGTGTATCTCTTTTGAAATTTTATCTGATCAACGTTGATTCACAAAATTCTAACCTATAGGTGGTTGACCTGGTCCGAAGAGCGGTCCCGCTCGCCCTCCTACCCGAGGACGACCCGGGAAATAATGAGCTCAGGAAGCTGCAGGAGAAGAAGGAGAAAATCGACTCGCTGGCTCACATACAAGTCCGACGCATACTGTGGGCTGGGCTCGGGCTGGCCGTGGTGCAGGCCGGTCTCTTCTTTCGTCTCACATTCTGGGAGTTCTCGTGGGACGTGATGGAGCCCATTGCGTTTTTCACGACCACGGCCAGTATAGTCATAGGGTACGCCTACTTCATGTTCACCTCGAGGGACCCGAGCTACCAAGATTTTCTCAAGAGGCTCTTTCTCTCGAGGCAGAGGAAACTCGTCAAGAGGCACGATTTCGACATTCAAAGGTTTGTGGAGCTGCAGAGAAAGTGCAAGTTGCCTTCCAAATCATGCGCATCCATCAAGAGGCGGATAGGGGTCGAAGTCGAACCGGATGATCTTTTGCACGATCACTACTAGTATCAAGTTATTACTCGACCTTCAATATACTTACTTTGATGTTTGTTTTGTATTTTCTTTTCTTGTTTTATTTTGTAGGCCGAAATATGGAATAGGTTTATTGTTGGCACATAGACTTAAAAAGGGTTTGCTTAATGTGGCACATGCAATTTTGTAAGGGTTACTGGATTTTGGCTTTTGTATTAATGTTCAAGTTTTACAAGTGTTTTTTACTTCAAATTTGGGTTGGCGGGTCATTGTACAAACCAAGGAAGAAATAGCACCTAATAATAACAATAACAATAATCTGAAGACATGTCAGGAAAGTAGCCTGCAGACAAAAGGGAGCGGCTAATTACACAAATAATTAAGGCACTAATGACCGCAAACTCATCACAATTCAACATGAGTTTATAAAGCTTGTTCTTCTTGAATATCAAAAACTCGGCCTCCATACGGTTCAGCAGGTCAACCACCGACTCTTCTTTCGACCCATTGAAATGTTCCAAGATATCAGACAGCAAAATCTGTGTCGCAAAAATCAAGTAGAATGTATTCAACTTGCCCATCACAAAACATACAACACAGCAAAAACTCACCCCATTCTCGAAATTCTTGAGCCAGTCGAGCACAGAATCCTCATTCACCTCCAAAGCAACACACGACTCGTGAACTTGTTGAAAAATTTAATCATGAATACCATCCACATGTTGTTTTGTATCTACATCGTCGGAAATCTCGTGAACTTCAGAGCCGTTTGATGTCCCATTTTGAGGTTCATCTACTTTGCAGTCTCCCTGAAGACGGGGAACAATAACTTCTAATTTCCCCATCTCTTGCAGTATCAAGCAGACCTTTATCTGGGTATAACTTACCTGAACAGTGTTATAACGAAGATTATTCTACTTGTGTTTTCAAGAATAAATATGATTGAATCTCGTGCAGTAATGTTCCACAAGCAAAAGCATGTCTACCTCTTCAGGTAATTCATTTTTTATCGGTTTTAACTTGTCTTTTCCAACTTTTTCCACGGCTGTTAGCACGTTCTTGATTATCTCCTGCGTTAGCCCCATCTCCAGACATAATCTGGCCCAATCAATCGAACATCCCTCTCTTGCGGCTTCAAAAATATACTCTTGGACAGTTGTTTCTTTTACCGGGGCCGCTCTACCTGGGTAATTCTGAACAAATAAATAAAAGTTAACAACAACAAAAACAAAAATTAACATGATTTGCAAAAGACTTACAGCAATTTGTTGGAATGTAAATCCATCTTCTTGCCACATTTTCCAAGCTTTGAACTTTGCAGATGTTAGTCTTTTGTTGTTATGAATGGTAGCGACCTTACTTGGCATAGGAGGTTCTTGAATTTGCTCCCCAACCAGAGAGAGGCCAAGTTCTTTCGACAGTTGCTGAATGACTTGTACAAAACAATCTCCGTATTTTGTCATAAAGTACTGCAGCGAAAATTTCCAAATTAGAACCACCAACT